CTGGCTGGGGAATTCTGGGAGTTGAAGTCCACACATCTTAAAGTTGCCAAGTTTGAAAAAACACTGCTCTAAGTCACCATTTCTCCTTGTGGTCTTGTCTAGTGACTTCTTTCCAGTTCTTTGCTGTAGAGTCTGTGTAAGGACCAGTCAGAAGGGGCATTGCTTTGTATAGCAGGAGCTGTGGATCCCATATATCAGAGGCAGTGGAGAAGGTATGTTAGGTACAGCTATGTTACATATGAATATTTCTACTCTTTATCATGAGAAAAACGTAATTTAAAATGTTTGACTTGGCTGGTTCTTAGGGGAAGAGTAAAAGGGTAACTTTCTAAGACGTTCTCAGGAATTGTGAGTTTGAATTGTGAGAAGTGATGTATTGCATCCTCTAAAAAAGGCCCTGAAGGCAGATATTTCCCCCCTTTTCCTACACTAGATTGCTTACAGGAAAATTCTTTCCATAGTTGCCTTCTCCCAGAAATTAATCCACATAAATTAATTTTGAGTTGAGCTTGATTCCTGGTATCTTAACAGAAACAGCCATGTAGTTTCTTGGCAACAATAGAGAATGGCTTGCATTTGCCTTCCTCTGGAATGTTTTTTTTCAGTTTCCCAAACTAGGCTACAGACGGGGTATTCCCTGAAGGTCTTCTGTCCAGCTCCTGAGTCTGCTTAGCTTCCAAGTCTAGATACTGTCAGCCAGGTGATGATGATAATTAACATTCTGCAGAACTTTTACGCTCTCTGTGTGTGTTTCTTCTAGCTCAGAAGTCTTCAACCTTTGGGGACTGGTGGGGAGAACATATGGATACCCCCACAATATGGCTCTTGGTTGCTCTTTCACAAAGTAGATACCATTTACCAGCTACGAAGCCCACGTTTAGCAGAATGCTACCTGCCAACCCCTTTCTCTGCCCCCACATTCTCTTTGTTTCTAGGATGGACGGCATTTGACTGTCACTGCCTATGATCTTTATTTTTAAGAAAGGTTATAGGGCTCCTTTGGGGCCAGATAAGCTCTGTTTGAAAATAAAGAAAATATTGGAATATGTAATACAGTATGTAAACTTCTATTTATTTTTTAATGTAAAAAGTCAGGGTGGGGGGGCTGGAAACTAAGAAAATATTAAACCCAGACATGATGGAAGCAGAAGGCAGGATGGGGGTGGAAAACAGGCCCAGGACCTCTACCTGGATGTTTTAGTGCTCACTGCAACTAAGATACTGCGATAGAGTGATTTTCTATTCTACTTAAAAACAGGTTATAGCTGAGAGCCAGAGATCAGGAATATTTATGGTTATGCTCATTTTGTTATTTTTACTTCTAAAAAGCATTGTTCTATAAAACCATTCTTCCCAAAAATGGCACTCATTGCCAAGCAAATTTGCCTCGCATCAGGCCAAAGTAGCAAATTCCCTTCTAGTCCTATAGTCATAATGATGCTATGATTTATGTTTACAATGGGAAACTGTCCATGTTCAGTATTTTCCTTCTTGTTTAAAATCAGAGTTGGCAAATCTTGGTTTTTGTTCCTCCAAGTAGCTTATCAGGAATATTTGAATGGTTGTATAACACAGAATGGCAGGGTGGGGAAGAGGAGGATAAAAACAACAATAAGCTTCATAGTTACAGTTTAAACACTACCACATTTCTACCAAGGGCGTGGGAGCTGTAATAGGGGTAATTGCAAGGTCTAAAATTAGCATCCCTAACTATAGCCAAAATCAGTTTTGTACTAGATGTATTAGCATGCCTTTATGAAAGAAAGGCTGGTGACTGTAACCTGAAATATTCCCTCAAGCTCAGGGACTGGTTGGGTGCAGCTGAGCACTGGTTGGGTGAAAGGCTTCCATGCAGGCAGCAGCGTCTAAACTCACACTAAAAGTTTCTGGGATCTGTGGTTCCGTGAGGGCAAAATGGAGGGATTGTAATGAAACCATAATTATAATGTACAGATAAAATATACTTTTTGAAAGCTGGGCTGATTTCTTCTGTAACACATTCTCTTTTTTTAAGTAGGTTTCTTTTTCTTTGGAAAAAATAGGAAGCATCTTTCTCATAAAGAAACATGTATAATTCCGGTATGATGTTGGCCACTTAACAACATGTAGGTTATGTTTGCGCAATACATTTGCCCATAGTTACCTTTACTTAACCCAATTTTTAAAATTCCATAACATTTTTTTAGTTTGGTGCATAACCGATATGGTTTAGTTTGCTCCATAATACATATTGGAGCGGGAGGCATAAATATGTTGTTTGAGATAGAATACAGAAAAATAATTTATTCCTTATTACAAGTAAGCGTGTATCAACTCTTGACAGGAATAGGGGAGGTAACATGTTCCTTCCTTCTAACTGGATCTCCCAAACCTTTAGAAGACATGATGGTCATATCATTTCACAAAGGAGCCAAGAGCATCTAGCAAGACAGATGTGTCCAGGGGCAGTTTCAAGAGGGCATCAACCAGAATCTTCCAGTTTGGGAATGTTCCTCTGGATGAGATTGAAAAAGCAATTGGGAATCATTTCTCAGGCTGGCAAATCAGCTGGGTCCTTGTGATGACTAATCT